GAACCCTTCTCTACAACTCCTCCTCCTCACATTTCAACTACTCCTTGTTTCTGCAAGATTGGTGATTCTATTTTTTCTCCTGGTTAGTGTGCTTTTTTTTTTTTTTTTTTTTTTTTTTTTTTTTGTTTTTTTTTTTTTTTTTTTGCTCACATTTTTCTGTTAATTAACCTTTTTTTCTGTTTTTTGACATTTTTTTTTTGTTGGTTTTTTTTTGTTGTTTTATATGTCTTTGTTTCCTTTTCTGCAGGTGACTTGATTTACAACAGGGTGGATAGTGAAGGCTGTCGATTTTATGCTATCTGTAGCCCAACATGTAATATTGAACGACACAGTGTGCATTGTCCTGTCACTACTCTGCCAGCCACCACTTCCTCTGAGTGGTCTACAGTAGTAACAACAGCAGTTCCTCTATCTCCCACCTCTACAAGTTCTGTTTTTCATGGTTGTGTTTCCTCTATTTACCCTCCATTACAAGTATGTGATTTCGATATTATATTTTCACTGTTTAAATAATATAATTTCTTTGGGTGGTACCTGATTGGAAGAGTTTGTAGTCTTTATACCTTACATGTGCTTATTTCAATTATTTTTCTAATGATGGGCAGTATACAGGGCATAATATTTTAATTTTTCCTTTTTTTGAATTTCTGTTTTTATATTGCTGAATAAGTGACTATAGTCTTTTGTTGTTACTTTATTTTTAGTGAAACTCTTTGGTGCATTGCATATGCAAGGTATCTTCTCACTGACATATTAGAGGGAGTTTTCTTATGTATGCTATTTTTTCACTAAAGGGAAATATTTAAGATACAGTAAAGGCTTGTATCTATTTCCTATATTCTGCCATTTTATCTATACTCCTTTAAACTTATTTTATTTTTATGTTCTCTGTTGTCCTTGAAGTATGCTATACGCAGAATAGAAGAAATAAATTCCTGTAACCTAATATATGTCCCCTAAACTCCGGAAGGGCTCATGCAGTTGCAACAAGTGTCGTTAAGGTTTCCACCTCCTTTCAGCATTAAAGAAAGTTAATCCTGTAGAATATTGACAACTTTTACTCTCAGTGAAAATTTTCATTTTAGTCTTTGCTTTAGTTTCAGAAATGTTAGTGTTGTTTATCCTCCATAACATGGTCAGAATTTTGAATAACTCTAGTTGCCATTTGAAATCATTAATACCACAAATTGAATATAAGTAACACATACTAATTTCCTTTCCAACACCACCATTACTGGGAATATCATAGCATAAATCTAAAAAGAGGAGTAAAGTTTATTCCTGTTTACAGAGTTTTGTGTAAAAAGCTTTTTCTTCGTTTTGCAGCCTGGAGAACGATTCAAATTATCCAACTGTACAGAAGTCATCTGTAATGGAGACAACAGTATAGATGTAGTACCAACGTACTGCCCACCTGTAAAGGAAATTACCTGTGCAAACAAATACCCACCAATGCTGGTACCTGATGAAAATGGATGTTGTTATCGATATGAGTGTCAATGTAAGCATCAATAGATTCAGGAATAACATTTTGTGGAAAAAAAAAAAAAAGCCAAGCTTTACTCAGATTATATGGGCGTTTTCATTTTTTAGGGTTGCTCTATAAATTGCAGAATCTTCTGTTTTTTAATTTTCTTCTACCTAAATTCTCATTTTCATCTTCCAAATATTTTCTCTGTACCAGGTGTGTGTAGTGGATGGGGTGATCCTCATTACATTACTTTTGATGGAACCTATTATACCTTCCTTGAAAACTGCACTTACGTCCTGGTGAAACAGATTGTCCCTAGATATGACAACTTCCGTGTTTACATTGACAATTATTACTGCGATGCAAAAGATGGACTCTCCTGCCCTAAATCCATTATTATTTTCTACAAATCTGCAGAAGTGGTGCTGACTCGTCAACTCATGAATGGTGTGATGACCAATGTGGTAAATATTTTTTTTCTATTTTTGCAAAAAAGAAAGTGTCCATAAGCCTTACTGATGCCTTTTTGAGGTACAGTCTGTTAGAACATCACATCATGGAGGTATGAGAGCAGAGAGTACCACTAGGGGGGAAAAAAAAGGATTGCACTGGATGCTAAGAACAAAATTAATATTTCATGAAAACTGGTACATTGTGCCATACACTTATGTAAACATGCACACTTTGAAGAAATATAAATGCAAATTGCAAGGAGGAGTCTTCTCCTGGGGAAAGGATGGATGTGTATCCCTTATCTGCTGGATGAAAATTAAAAACATAGTCCCACTCTTAAACTGGAGAATCTATTAGTTGATTAGAGAATCTATAGAAAGGGAGAAAAGTTTGTCTGAATAGGCACTCCCACCTTACAGTACCATGCCACATTCTTAGTCAGAAACATACATTGGTTCCCCGTGAAAGAAAACATAACTGACGATTTTAACTCATGCTTTAGCCTGATTCAGTGAGAAGAGGGTTGCAGAATAACTTCTGGCAAAAAACTATTAGGCAAATAAGTTTACCTTTATTAACTCATATAAGATAATGGCTACAAATTGAAAAGTTTAACAAATAAATATGATCACTACTACATAAAACTGGCACTAAGGGCATCTGACTTCATTTTGAATTCAGACAATTCTTCCAATGTCAATTACTATGTAATACAGAGATGGTGTGATTATCTCACAAAGTTATTACATAATAATGGCAGGGATGTTTCTGTAGCTAAAGGAAACTATCACTCATTTTCACGTGAAAAATGTTTCCAAGGCACATAATCATGAGGGATAGAATGAAAATACTTGGATTTATATGCATAGAATACTTTGTATTAGCATAGAATCAGCACAAACACAGTATGTAGAGGCCACTTAGATTATTATCACATTCTAGCAATATAGCAATACAAGCCAAGATATCAATGCAATTATATGCTGTCATTAGGATGCCAATCAGCACTGGATGTGATGAACAATAGTATGGAGTTATGCATAATTATGAAGATTAGCACACATATTTAAAATAATCAGGCAGAAGCAGTGCTTGTTCTGACATGCTGTTTTGTTTTGGCTTTTTTTTTAACCCTGCTTTCAGATGTACTTCAACAAAAAGATTGTTGAACCCGGCTTCAAAAAAGATGGCATTTCTTTCTCCACTCTTGGCATCAATATGATTGTTGAAATAGAAGAAATTGGTGCTGTCATCACCTTTAGTGGTCTGATTTTCTCTGTCAAGCTCCCATACAGCAAATTTGGCAACAACACTGAAGGACAATGTGGTAAGAAGGCTGGACAGATTAGAGGGGGTACTCTTTCCTCTGCCCACCCCCCCCCCCCCCCACCTTGGTTATGCTCACCCACTCTGGTGGCAATGCAGTCTTACGATTGACAGAGATTTTTAAACAGCAGTAAATGGAAATGAGTACAGTTCTGCTCTTCAACTTCTGTAGGATGTCAAAAGCTCAATATTTCTTTGGCGCTGGGGTTTTACATCTACTTGTTTTTCTATAACCTAAAGTTCATGTAACTAGAGAAAGTGCTCCCTAGGAAGCAAGGCAAAATATGTATTTCATGAGTATATCACACCAAACATATCAGCCCAGTAATGTATTGTGCATCTCTGACATGGCTTATGAGACTTATCCAGCTTGTCTCTTCCAGGAACATGTACAAACAATAAAGAAGATGAATGCCGCTTACCAAGTGGTAAGATCATTTCCTCCTGTCCCCAAATGGCTCATCACTGGATTGTTGACAACAACAAGTCGTGCCATGGAATACCAATACCACCAGCTATAACCACACCTCCACCAAAGCCGCAATGTCAAACGCCTGCGCTCTGCAAGCTTATCTTGAGCGAGTAAGAAAACAAATTAATTTCTTCTAGACACAACTGTCTCAGTATCTTATAAGAAAAAATAACAGCTATAACTTTAGCATGTGATAATAGCTGAAAATGTCAGCTTAATGACAGAATATAAATAGTAAAAGGCCTCTGCAAAAGAAACTAGTCTGCCTTAATGATTTGCATACCAAAGATAACTGAGCAAGTAGAGGTAAAGTCAGAAAATCAGGGATGCAGCAAGCACTAAAATCAATACGCCCTGGATGCAATACTTCCAGAGTTTGTTCATTAAGTATTAAGCAAAGACTGAACTCTAAATTTGAAGTGGGTCCTCAGTACAAATACAGAGAACCCAGTTACCAAACAGGTGAAGAGAGCAGATGCAAACAGCTGAGAAATATCCTTCATTCTGTGTATATTTTACCTAAAATACAGAGCTCCAAAAGCACAAAGGCTTGTTTCCTGAAGTATGTCCTATACCTGTGTAGGCTGACAACATTATTTATAAAAGGCCTTTTATACATGTTTTCTGTAGTATCTAGTAAGTTTGGAGCTACTTTATGTGTAAATTTTCTATTGCTACTTTTTTCTCAATCTGGTGCAGTTGCCTTTTACATTAAATTTCTGGTCTCAAACCACTCAAAGATTGTGTACGCATATAGAAATACTATGCCTGTTAACATCTTTAGAAAAAAAATGCACTTCAGATTTCTTAATCTTTCCTGAATCTAACTCCTAGCTTACTGGCCATTCCTAGGGTTTTGTTTCTTATAATGCCTTCTTTACTGAAGCATAGTCACATGCTATTAACTGGAAAGTGTTTTCTGACAGGAACAGACTTTGTATAATGGCTCATTGATATAGAAGGGGGTTGCTTTCTTTACTGTCTGCAGGGTTTTTGCAGAATGTCACACAGTGATACCACCAGAACCCTTTTTCAAAGGCTGTGTTTTTGATGGATGTCGCATAGACGATGAATCCATGCAGTGTTCCAGTTTGGAGATATATGCTACAGAGTGTGCTGCTAGAGGTGTCTGCATTGACTGGAGAGGAATGACTAACAATACATGTTGTAAGTATTGCAGGACTCAAAATGCATGTGATAAATGGTAGAAATTAGTGTTTTAGTCACTAAACACGTCTTATATCTGACACTTGGTTACTGTCTACAAAAATGCAGTGGGGTCTTTTCTCACAGAAGCTGCAGATAAAGAAGGCAAAGCTGTAGTAATTTTTTTCTGGAAAAAAATGCATCTACTGGCAATTTTTAATATTTTTTTTGGTCTTTTTCCATACAGCATTCAGCTGTCCATCAAGCACTGTATACAAGCCTTGCGGGCCCATTAATCCAGTTACCTGTGACCAAAGGTATTGGAAAACAACAAAAAACCCCACCCTTAAGCACCTGCTTATATTTTTCTTATCTATCTACTTTCCTCAGAAATTTGAGTTATTTTACAATAAAATGTGTTACGAATTTCACTAACTTATTCAAGATTTATAAATACCAATCAGCTCTAGGAACACGTGCTTCCTGTTGCCCTTCAGAAAGTCCACATTTCTTGTCTTTTATCTGACATGATAGACTGCTCTGCCCTCTGCCTCACCACAGAAGTGTTGTACTCAAACACATATGTTCTTCCCATTCCAGCTATGAGCGTCCTGGCTATGGAGTAACTGAAGGCTGTTTTTGTCCTGAAGGAATGACACTCTTGCGTGCAGAGAGCAACATCTGTGTCTCTGAATGTTGTAAGTCATCTGTAGCTAGTTTGGGGGATAAATAAAGATGGGAATTATTGGTCAGGAGGCCTGAGTTCTGTAGTCATCTTGTACACAGTCAGATCATTGTAAATCAGTCTCCCTCAGTGTCCCCAATTACAAACTGAATCATAGTCAATATTATCCTTTTTTCCCATCATCCTTCCTTACACGAGACCCACCAAGATGGTAGAACTCTACAGTTCAGCAAAATTAGTCTGCATATTAATTTTCTTGTTAGCTTTATCTTCACAGTATTTTTATTGGAAAATGCACATCTTTATTCCTTTGTCAGTTTTCATTGGTGTAAATACCCATTCATTTGTTTGTCTGTTTTTTTCTATTTCTTTCTAGTCTGCAGAGAGCCAAATGGAATGTCCAGAAGGGTGAGTATCACAATGAGTATGGCTTAAAGAGCACAGACAAGTGAAACAAGATGATATTTAGTGTTCCATTGAACCAAAACTTTGTCACAAATGTTTGCTCACTTTCAGTCTTAAAAATAATGAGTACTAGAGCACCCCTAAGAAATTTAACAATAAGTGATAAAATATTCTTTCAATAACCTCACATACAGGGAAAAAAAACTTTAAAAGGACAGAAAGAGAGAGATGGTGGTAGTGGAAGTTAGGCATATATGCTTATTTTATTTCCACAAATTTGGCTTGATAAAATTACCAGAAATGGAGAGATGGATAACAAAGTTTACCTGTTGCTTATCATGTTAATGTCTTGCATTATTAGTTCCTCAGCTGCACAGAAATCAGCAACCTAATGTGAAAATAAGTACATCATATGATAATTTTTTATTTAAAGATGGATGCTAAGCTCGATAACTTCTCCTTTAGGACTCCTGTAACCCTCATGCTAACACTATTAACAAATAGAAAGTAATAGCTTTGTGAACTCAGAACCTTTAGTGGCTTCCAATGTCTTCCCCAAATAAACAGTTTGAGGGTCTCCTATGAAATCTGAACTATGAAAAAGCTGATATAATCAGTTATTACTATATGCCTATATGAATATGTCAACTAGAAGCAAATAAAATTATTTTTGTTTATTTTTATATTTAATTTTTTTTCTTCCCATTGCCTGTGGTTTTCTTTTTTATTTAGCCAGGAGAAAAGTGGACAAAAGATTGCCGAGAATGTGTCTGTGACAAAAACACTCTTCAGGTGAAGTGTACAAAGCACGAATGTTCTCCGACACAGCAAATATTTTGTGAAGGACCAGGTTACATGCCTGTTCAGACACCGATACCAGAAGATCCATGCTGTACTAGGACTGAGTGCTGTGAGTACTGTCTTAGTTCTTTATCATGGCCAATATGCTATATTAATTTTAGGAAACTACAGCAATCATTTCACATTTTTTAATACTTTGCATTGATGTCATAATGCTTTTCTCTCTCATCCTGCTATTTAGAGCCTTCTTGCAGAGCATACAGTAAATGCCTGAAGATAAGAAATGTAAACATCAAAAAATTTTATATAGTCATAGAAAAGTAACTGAAAATCTTCTATAATTTAACATTGAAAAACTTTAATACTGCCACTATCTGAAACAATAATCAAAAACCATGTAAAAGCTTTTCAATTTCAAAGACCAGTATTAAGAAAATTAACTTTAAAAAATAGTCCTGACTATTCAAAAATTACTCAGGAAAGTTCCAGAACCAGTTATCAAACCAGAGAGTCATCAGATTTCCCCATTGGTACAAATTTCTCTTTGAAGTTATCTTTTTCCAACAATTACTACTCTGTTCTTCTCAGTGTTTTGTTTTACAAAGATTTAGGAAAGCCCAATCACATTGAAAACACCTTGGCACATAGTCTGAATTAGTCATTAGACTATCTTTTGTAAACACCATATCTACCCCATGGGAAGACTTCAGAAGTTCATGTAAAACAAAACTGCTTTAATTCAAAAATTCTGAGCTTATTATTTTCTTTATTCTCTTACATGAGACAGACTGTAACACAAGCCTCTGTGCTGACATCACACCGCAGTGCTTAGAGGGGCAGGAAATAATCACAATAATGCCACCTGGAAACTGCTGTCCTGTCTTTGAATGCAGTAAGTATCGTGCACCACCCCCCCCTTATGTACTGTTTACTGCTGTATTTTTTCTAAGTTACAAAAAACCTTATAAGAGAGATGCAAGTTATCTCTGGTATCGTATTGGGCCTTGTTGTGAATGAGTGTTTTAAGGCTGCTGCCACAGGCTTATGAAATGGGCCTACAAAACTATGAAACAGAAGTTTTTTCATGCATTTCTGCCTCCTAAAACTTACACCTCCTTTTTCCTTCTTTACAGGACAGGGCTGTGTAGTCAACGAAACCTATTATGCAGTAAGTACACAGAGTTACTCTATAAAAATATATCCTCACATAGCTCACAGTGTAGTGTTTTTGAGACACCTATCATGGCCCATATTTTGTAGGACTGCCTGAGATAAAATATTATTCATTCTTTCACTGAGGTTAACACCCTCTGTACAAGCAAAATCATGTTCTGCTCTCCTTTCTCCATTAGCAGAATTTGATTCCAAAATCAGTATTACCGAACCAGAAACTCTGAGTAAATAAAACAACCAAAATTGTATTTATGGCTAGCTTAGCCTATACATAGTTAAACTTTGTATTTTCTGTGATGTGCATACACGGAGCAACCTGTTTTAACTGGCTAATAATGGGTTTTTCCAACTTCCCCTAGCCTGGAGCTGCCATTCCATCAGGCCCCTGTGAAGAATGCACCTGCTCTTCATCCTCTCCCTCGAGGCCTCACCACCTTACGGTGACGTGCCAGCCTGTTATCTGTGACACATACTGCCCACTGGTGAGTGTCTTCTGCTGCCAGAAATTCCCACCCCACTCAGCTCCAGTAAGCACCAGCCCAGGTCAGTGACCTGACTTAATGCCATTGTCTCTCTATTCCTTTCAAAACAGGGCTATAAATACACAGTGGAACCCGGACAGTGCTGTGGCACGTGCAAGGCAGCAGCTTGCGTAGTGACTCTGGGAGACAATGCTACACACGTGCTCCATGTAATTACCTCTGGCTGAGTTCACTTTTGGGGAACTCTGCTAGTCTTTTACTCTTTCCTCTCCTTGTATTTGTCACATTTATTTCCTCCATCTTTTCTCAGACAAATGCTTACTCAGGCAGGGGCTGGACAATCTCCACACAGCCTAAACAATACCTCACACTACGAAACATCAGTTCTAAGACTTCTGGAAGCAACTGTGATATGATACTGAACAATGGCTTCCAGAAATCAGCATAGGAAAATACATAGGTGAAAGCAATAGGCTTTTGTTTGCCTCCAGTTCTGAAACTGTAGTACCCATTTTGCTCAGAGGATAATTTTATCTGTGGAGGTATTTTGACACATCCATAAATTCTAATGACAAAACCATTGAAATGCAAATTATTCTTTCCAAATGAGCCGACGTACTTACTCTATTCACGTAAAAAGCACATCTATATCCAGATAAAAATAGAGCCTCTTCACTTGGTTAATGAAAACCACTTAATAGTAGTATGATAATATGGTAAATAATTATCAGCTGAATTTCAAGGAAGTTGTTAGGAATAATCAAACTACTATACACAGCAAAAATAAGACACTGGGGTTTTTGTTTCATTTTTATATAGGATTTAAATTTGCATTCATTTTTGACTACTTTCAGGAAGGAGAAACCTGGAATCCACCTGGTGATAACTGTACTTTTTACACATGTGAAAAACATGCTGACCAGTTCATTCAAGTCATCAAAGAGGCAAGCTGTCCTGCCTTGAACTATGATGAGTGTGATCCAGTAAGTCCTGTTCTACCAGTTCTCATTTTTGGAAAGTTTGCAGTGCCTAACACCAGTGATAGAAGGATCACGGTGTCCAATGAAAATAACTAGCAGAAGCATCGTGCAGGAAGTAGCTCTCTTTTTATCCTCTCTGAACCTGCTCCCAGTCAAATTTTATCTCAGAAAAGCAACTCAAAATTAAAATTAAAATTTAAAAATTACAATCCTCACTGAGGATCAGACATTAGATAAAAGGATACAGTATAATACTTTGGATTCCTTAAAGTGTCAAGGGACCTAGAAGCAAAAATCAGCCTCTGGCAAGTCACTTACTTCACTCATTTTGTTACCCTCTCTTTTATAATCCTTCACCTTTACTGACTTTGGTCACAATATTTGGGCTTACATGTGCTAGGAGCTTTATTGCTTGCTGAAATTTTACTACTAAACTGAGGGTTTTCCTCCATTTCAACTTTCAAATAACTCCTATTAATATTAAGGTGGTGAGGTGCCCTTAATACTTAGCCTTGCTTGAAATTAGATTCCCGGTCAATACAAAAATATACACAGTCTCTGGTGCCAGAGAAAATTAGGAAGCAGGGAAAGTCTGCTTTAGTATGCAGATATGAAACCTGAGTTATCTTTTTGTTTTCCCACTTAAGGAGGATATCAGGTTATCTGACGATGGCTGCTGCTTAGTGTGCCAAAGAGTACCAAAACGTAAGTAATAATAATTTTGTTAAAAGTATTGGTTATATGTGCCTGATTAGGTATATTAGTCCATTTTGCGCAATGGGTACATAGACAGAAAAGGTGAACTGACCAGGTTTGGGTTCACTGCTTCACTGGAGTGAGAAAGGAAAGAGGTGGAAAAGAAAGGAACAGGACATTTCCACTATGCATTTTAGGTCCTAGTAAAACAGATTGTGAACATTCCCATCCCCTACTGTTAAATGCTGGCTTTTTTTGGGAGGATGAGGACTATGATTACTCTCTAATTTCCATAGATAGATTCCCCTTTAAGGAGGAAAGTGAAGCCAGTTCTGAGAGATGGGTGTGCATTGAGCAGTTGCCACAGTACTACTCTTAATTTCTGCATTCTCAATCAAGTTGCCTAAGAAAAAGGGAATGTTTCATCCACTGATAACACAAACAGCAAGTCTTCATTTAGCCCTCAGCAATTAAAAAAAATGCATTGTGATTTAGTTTCCTATTTCAGCTTCATCCACCTTAGTTTTCAGATACAAACTGTCATATCATACACAGCTATTTATATACACATGCATTTTAACATGTTTTCCTTTGCTTTGTGATGACCTCAGTTTGTATGAAGCACAATATGACTACTGTCATCAACTACAATGGCTGTGTCTCTCCTGCACCTGTTGAGATAACATACTGTGAAGGCAGCTGTGATGCTTACTCACGGTAAGTGGCATAAAAGATAATTGTGGCCTCTTGTCTTCTACTCTTTACACCAGTTACATCAAGCAAATCACAAGGGTTTTTCTGATGTGTCCAACATCCACCCAGTCATCAACTGTTTCCATTGTGCTAATTAACATGGCATTGTACTAGCTTGATTACCTTGAGTTTAACAGCCTGTTCAATGTCATAGTGAATAGACCCAAATTTTGATTTTGCCCATTTAAAACTGAGGTTATTTGTTTCTCATTATTCTCTCATTGGACTGGCTCACTATGTGATCTGGAATAATCCTGTACTTTTTCTGTGCCTTAATGAAGATTTAGAGTTATAAATTTTTACAATGAGGAGCAATTTACCTCTATTTCACCACAGGACTGTAAGAATGCTAATATTGAGCAATAGTCCCACATGCAAGCACAAAACTTCTGGTTATGTTCTGTAATGGGTGGAAGGGCAGTATTATTTCCTCACATAAATTCTGAACCTTTCTCATTGGTTTTTCTATCAGATATTCTCAAACGACAAACACGATGGTGCACAAATGCTCGTGTTGTCAGGAAATCAAGACCAGCAAGAGAAATGTGACTCTGACGTGCAGCGATGGAACCTCCCTGGATCACTCCTACACCTACGTGGAGAAATGCAGCTGTGTGACTGCTGAGTGCATTACCCAAGGCAACACCCAACAGGAGACACAGCAGATAAAGACTTCTCAGGAGCAAGCAAATGTCAAAAATTAGAATTAGAGAGAAGTCCTCAAACAAGGGCTGAGAATAAGACTAAATAAAGAAACTTCAAAAAATACAAAAGTGTCAAGAGCAGCTAAAATTTTGGATGAACAGATGATGTTTTCTGCATAATCCCCCAATATATCTGTCTACAGAATTTCAGCTTTCATTATCAATCTATCTCCCATTGGTTTTATGTCTTTTGTTTTTCACCTTGAGAAGTGTAAGTTCATCTTGACATTTTCTGTTCATTTGTCTTCTGAGAAGTGCTGGACTTTTAATAACATTTTCATTTCAGTTCACTGAGAAAAATCAAAAGACAAATCTAGAAAACAAACCAAACCCAAGGAAAACTGTACCACTCTGCTTCTATATGATTTTTGGGTTTTTTTGGCTGAGGAAAACTTAGAGGGCAGAAAGCCATATCTCTTCAAAACTATAAACTTCAATATTCTGAACAATTTATGATGGACATATTTCCCCACATATTTTTGTGAGGAAAAGGAAAAATCCTATTGTGAGAAGCTGCTGCACACTACTTTTTGTTTACATAACACCATCAGCATAGTAGCTGTATGAAAATATGGATTTTTTTAATTTCTGTTTTGTTATGTGGTTAACTGTTTACAAAAGAAATATATATATATATTTGCCAACAGAGGCATATGAAGGATTTTTTTAAACAAAAGTATAATAATAATAATAATAGTAATAATAATAATAATAATTGTAAATTCTTTCCTATGAAGCTTCAAGAAGTTGGACCACTACTATTTATTACTTTTTTTTTTTTTAAAACTGATTTATTGGGTCATTTCTTTCAGAATTAATGTTAATATTCCATTTCTTACTCTCAGTCATGTTGTCTGGGTATGGTATATTTTCTTTTGGTTTTGAATATTATTTTATTTTTGTTCCTTATGACACAAAAAAACAATTATGATTAATAAATTTTGAGCATTTTACAGCATGTCTGCTTTGACGTTTCAGTGAATCCCTTGCGTGAGAGTTGCTGGGTCCATAAAACGTAGGTCCAGATCAAAAATCAATGCAGGCCGTGGTACCTAACCCACTATAGAGCTTTGGTAGTGCTTTGAATGAAAAACATTCAAAACCAAACACTTGGATGTGTTCCAAGCACATCACCTCAGCTGCCATCACTTAGTGAACTCTCAGAAAGCAAGCACAAGACTCTTGAGTCTGGACATGTTTTGCAGCCCTGAAAGTTCTTTCCTTGACTGGCATAAAGTAGCCAAAGTATTTCAAACCAACCTGTCTCATGTTTTAGAGCCCACTGCAGCATAAATAAATCTCTGAAATTGCACTGCTGTAAATCTATGCGGCTGCAACTGAGAGGAAAGCTCCCATGTTTACAAACAATTTGCTGGGTGAAGGTGTGGGTGTTACGGTCTTTGAAATGGGCCCAATGTCTCTACTGCCTTAGGGCAGCGGGTTTGCTGCAGAGCCCAGGCAGTTCTGCTCCTGAAACAGACAAGGCTCTGCACAGCCTGAGTTTCTGAATTCTAGGGTAAAATAGCAGCTTCAAAGTGGGATATGTGGTAGGCGGTTTGGGAAGGCTGGACCCTCCTGATGCCTCAGCCAGTAGGGAAAGGAAGAGGGTAACATGTAGCTAGGAGTTTAGGATAAAACCAGGATGCTCCCTCTGAAACTCTGAGAAAATACCACAGGTGTCTGCCCTGGTGGACTCTCTCCCTTTATTCAAATAAAATTGCAGGACTCCTCAGTCTCCTTTTTGGACATAAACTTCTGGCATTTGTGACATTTCTTCTTACACTACTCTGCTTTAGGAGCAGAGTACTTTGAACCACAGCTCTGACTGTACATTGTATAATGCCAAGCAACATCCTATGAATAACTGCTCTAGGATTTATAAAGGGAACTGTAAAAAGCTGATGTTTTTTTATTAAACTTTTCTCTTACCCTACCGTTTGGATGGCTCAACAGAGGGAGGAACAGGGGGCCCCGCAGCAGCTTAGGCTGCTGTCACACGTGTTTTTCTTTTACAGGACAATAACCACACTGAGTTTTCTGTGAGAAACACTAACACCACTTGACTTCCTGCTGGCAGAAATCCCGAGCTCCGTCCCAGCTTCCTGTTGACATTTGTTAGTTTTTTCCACACCTTGGGCTCTGTGAAGCCCGCAGGTGGCACACTGCTCTGTTCCTCCCTTCCCAGCTAACCCACCAGGCTTCCCAGTGCAGCACTACTACTGAATTCATGACCATTCCGTGTGTAACAGATTTTCTGGCCTTTCCAGGCAGGCTAGGAAATTATTATTCTCCTGTTCATTCTGCAAAAGAGAAATAATGTCTATAATAGAAAATTAATTATTATGTGCTTTGTTGGTTCACAACAGCTTCTTGCCCACTATAACCTACTAAATTGGCAGATTTCCTGCATGTTGCTTCAAGATCATTACTTGTCTTCCCATACAAAGACTGTATTTCAGCATCCCAGAAGAGATTCTGTTTCCTGGAGATCCCTGTGTGCAATAAGTCTGTACCACCAGCCATTTTATACACTGAAAGGGAAAAAAGTAATACAATGAGGAAGAAGAGAGGGGGAGATGAGGCACATGGGAAGACTGACAGGTGGTAATAGCAGGGACAGCAGAGTTTGGTGGCATAAGAAGAAAAGAAAAAACAGAAATAGAAGCAAGGGCACTGACAGGCTTCAGTCCTGGCATGGGGAGACAGGAACAAGGGGAACATAAGCCAAGGTAAATCATGGAGGCACGCCAAGGCTGTGGCTGAGGAAGTAATGGAGACCCTGCCTTGGAGAAGGAAGGATTTCTATCACAGATGCAGTCCCAGTGCTGGGAAAGAGCAGATGGGAACCTTCAATTCAAAAGGAGGACAGGGAACAACATGCTTTGGGCACTAAAGACAAAATGAAAGATCTTGAAACAAGACATGGATTAAATGTAAACCAGAGTGCTGCAATGGATGTAATAGAGCAGACTTACATTCTTCCTAATTTTTCCTTTACACAGGACCAATCTTTGCTCTGAGTTGTTGCTGCCACAGATTGGGTAATAGTTCCAAAGTAAACCTTCCTAAAAGCTAGGGTAAATTATACCACTTATCTTTGTCAAAAATAAATTACTATTTTTTTTTTAAACCATAGATAAATACTGGAGTCAATAAGTGATTGGGTGGGAGAAAGTGATTGGCTTGGCAGGTCTTTCATGACAGGTCAGAATACCTGCAGGTCACCCTGAGCTGTGCTGGTGTAGATGGTTGATGTTACACCAACAGCAACACCAGAGGGCTCTGGGCTCACAGCTCACAGACGTGGATGAACAGGTTTGCTGTCAGAAGAGTTTCTTTCCAGGCACTTCAAAGTGAGCCACACAACTATTTCTTACTTTCCAATCCTGAGGGTGAGCTGTGCCCTTAACTTAATCCTGAATCTACAAGCATCTATTCCACATAACATAACAAGATTTGTTCATACATCACTTTTTTTTTTAATCTGATCATTGTTAGAAGACAAATAAATTGCAGCAGAGAAATCATTTACTTAGAAATTATTCCAGCTGAAAAAACCCGCCACTATTCACAGTTTTAGTGTCTAAATTCAATATTGAGTTAATGGGCATTCATACCTTCGCTCTCAACTCAGGTCTCTTGTTATGTGGCTCAGGTTCTTCATGACTAGCTTATTTTTATTCTTTCTTCACACAGCATATTAAAACTCTGCAGTGTAAATAACAAATTACTAATAATCAATTTCAATTATGCTTTATAACTATCAGCAACACATAAACAATAACCTGAAATTATGTGTCTATTTGGATTCCAGCTTTGAATCCACTTCCAGTAATTCATTTGCTTCTTAAAACAATGTTTAAACCACATCATTTTCTGAAAAAATCTATTGAAGGACTTATGGTTGTTTGTGGCACAGCTCAGGAGCTGGGCTGATAACAGAGAACTCAAGAGTGGAAGCCACACTTCATAATAGTAAAAACCCAACTGAAGGAAGGAACTTTTTACCTCTTCAGTAGGTTTTGTTTTAACCACTGGAAAAAAAAAAAAAAAAAANAAAAAAAAAAAAAAAAAAAAAAAAAAAAAAAAAAAAAAAAAAAAAAAAAAAAAAAAAAAAAAAAAAAAAAAAAAAAAAAAAAAAAAAAACAAAAAAAACAAACACTCTCTGGCAACAAGCCTGATTAAGACATAGTTTTATAATAGAAAAGGAGACTAGTTCTATTCAAACATTATTAATGTAATAATAAAACAATTATAAATGCACAGGAAGTACATTTTTGCAGAGGATGCAGTAGTCATGACTGTCAAATTTTCCTTTGTTCCTTACAGCTTCAAAAATTACCATCCTTCTTGAGCCTCTGATTTCTTTTGGCATTCAGTATAACTCCTATTTATAACTACAATCTGATGGTGATTAACCAGCAAATGTTTCCACTATCAAAATAATTGGATTTGGGTTTTCTTAAATAGACAGAAACTTATTCTGCCTGCCTCTAACTACTCTCTTCCTGTTATGACCATGCATAGAAAAATAAAATCCCACTTTTGCTTCCTTCTGTTTTAAGAAAGAAAAGGCTGTCCAGGCAGTCAAAAATGGAACTCTTAAATAGAGTAATTGTGGATATGTCACACACACAGTCTCACAAAATGAAAATGTGTAAAGTCTTAGTAGCCAGTCCTGAAACTAAACCATTGTTTCTGTATTCCAGTCTAGTTACAAGGATTCAGTGGGATTCACTGACTTTAAAAAAAAGGGAAAAAAAAGCCAAGAAAAATGAAAAAATGCCAGAAATACTTGAGAGGAGCATGATTCCAAGGCAAATTTGAAACTGGCTTTTGTTTCAGAGAATGTCAGATGGGAACTCATCTGTTCCCTCAGTGAGAAGTCAGTCCAAAACTCTCATTCCAGTTTAAGTGACCTCTAGAGAGGTGTGGGGCCAAAACTGAGCTTTCTGTTGTTACTCAGTGTCACAGCTACTGAAGCACACATCTGCCAACTG